TATATATAACTCTATCATACCCGCTTTTCTGAGCCTTTTAATCCTGTTCTCTACTCTCCACTATGTCAATTCCGTCATTTCAATCTCTTAGGTTGGGCCATCATTTTTTCCAGGCTCCTAGGAGCCATCCGACAGCCAGTTTATACCGTCTCCCAGGTCCCTGCCACAGTATTAATTCTCATATCCTGAGACAGCTCCCATCTCAACCAGTGAACTTGACCTTAATCTAATGTTCCTACTTCCTTGATTAAGCACCTTGAAAATTTAGCACTGTGGTTTATGCCGGTCCTGCTGGTTTACCCTGGCTAATTCTTGCTGTTCTTTGGGGGATTATAGTCCCTGTTCTCCCTTATCAGGGGTTTAAGTGCCACCACCTGGCACTTGGCAGGGTCCAAGATGTCCTTGGCTGGGTCTTTGACCTGTGGGAGTTAGCACTTTGACCTAGGGTTAGCACTAGCTATTATCATGGCATTCAGTAATGCAGATAGGGGCAGATCCCAAAGGAGCCCCGTGTTGCCTTGCAGGTGAGAGACCTCTGAATGTGTTTCTGCACAGCAGGAAGTGCTAACTCATCTGTGAAGATTCAGAGTTCAAAGAATTTGGAAAATGACAATCTTTGGGGGCAACCATCTGTCCCTAACCTGTCTATCAGGCCTCTAGGTTTTCCATACCACTACCCTGACCCTAATATAACAACTCTGCCTTGGCTGAGCATTCAGTCATTGTGAAGCAGTGGTCTGTAGCCATCCTGAGTTTGTTCTTCATCTTTTAATCCTCCCATAGTAGGTGAAAACTAAGTGTGAAGGCCAGCGGGCTCTTTGGTAACTCAACTGTTTATGAGTTACCAAAGAGCCCGCTGGCCTTCACACTTAAGTTTTTAGTTGTTAGCTGCCCTTTCTGGGGAGCCGGGACAGTCTAACAGCTAGCCAACTCCATTGTTCTTATATGTTTTGTGTTCCCCTTCCCAAATATCTGGATCTTTACACCAGTCTGAGTATTCCTCTCTGGGAACATTCCCCCAAGTCATAACTTGTGTGTTAACACTTGAGTCACCAGCTTGTGCCAGAGCCTGTCATGCCTCATGTACCACCTGGGATGAGATCTTCATTGTCAGTAGGGCAGTAAGTTATCTATTTCCTAAGCCTTATCTGACCTCCTGCTTTCTCTGTCAATTTCTGGTACCAGCTGTGCCAGTCTGAGTCCTTTAGGAAGCAGCTGTTGAGACAAGAATGTAAAAGGTATATGAGGTAGGAGAGGATTTCTGTGAAAGGAAAGGGAGAGGAGGCAGAATTGTCAGGGACAGTCTCAGAGTGTGATACAGGTCTGACAGAGTCTCAGACAACACAGTGAAGACTCGAACAAAAATTGTTCACTGCAGTCCTGCATTGAACAGAAATGGCCAGGCCTTAAGCCTATGTTATGAGCAGTCATTGGGTGGGGCTGAAGAGTGTAACTTCAGCTTGAAAGCTGGGCATCCTGAAGGGACTGTAGTAGGAGGCTGATAGCTAACTGTGCACCTAGAAGCTTATTGGAAAGTTACTTCATAAAGGTTGATATAAGCGACACGCCTTCATGGCTGCCACATGTAATAAGTACTCAGCAAATGCTAGGTATTATTGTTAGGGTGATCTTTGATGACTTTTTTTTTTTTTTAAAAAAGATGGGCCTTCACCATGATGGCCAGGCTGGTCTTGAACTCCTGACCTCAGGTGATCCACCAACCTCATCTCCCAAAGTGCTAGGATTACAGACCTGAGCCACCGCGCCCGGCCTTGATCACATTTTTCTAAGTTGCTTTTGTTCTTTATGAGTAAAAACCTTTTAGCATTCAGAGATCTGCATTTTACATTTTTTTTTTTTTTGAGATGGGGTCTTGCTCTGTCGCCAGGCTGGAGTGCAGTTGCACAATCTCGGCTCACTGCAACCTCTGCCTCCCGGGTTCAAGCGATTCTTTCGCCTCAGCCTCTAGCTGGGATTACAGGAGCATGCCACTATGTACCGCTAATTTTTTGTATTTTTAGTAGAGACATGTTGGCCAGGATGGTCTCAATCTCTTGACTCCGTGATCTACCCGCCTTGGCCTCCCAAAGTGCTGGGATTACAGCTGTGAACCACCGTGCCCGGCCCTTTTTTTTCTCTTGAATATGTTTTTGTTTGTTAATATGTGATATGAACTGAAACTGAAAACAGTATTTCACTGTGGTCTGGCAAATAGTAGGTGCCCAGGGAATGTGGGTTGAAATGGACCATGCAGTTTATCAGTATAGTACAGAACATGATAATCTCCACTCTCATTCTGGACATTTCTAGTGCAGCTTGAGATTGCATTAGTCTGTTTCCTGATGACTTTTTTCCTATAATGGACAATTCAGTAGTTTGGGTCTTTTTATTTTATTTTTTCAAAATAAATTAACTTTTATTTGAAAGGAGACTTCTTTTTCCCACATGTATCTTCTAAGGATTCTATACTATATGATAAACTGCTTACCCATTGTTCCAATACCAAAATTTCTAACAGCGCATTATATATATATGTATATATATAGTTGTTCTAGGTGATAAATAAGGATTGTCCTTCATTGATTAAAGGAATACCTAAACTTCAATAAATTTAACAAAAAAAAATATACTTTAGTTTTTAGGTTTTTTTTTTTTTCTTTATTTTTTAAATCGTTTCCATCTTTCAATAGATGCTTGTTTGAAGGGGAAATTTTCACGGAGTATGAAAATTTGTCCTAAGAACAGAGTTTCCCTACACAGCTAAGTAGCAGTAGCTTCCGCTACATACCTCGCGAAGATAAGAGGAACAACAACAACAACAATAATACTAAAGTTGAAATAGGCCATAAGTTTGAGGCCAGCCTGAGCAACTGAGCAACATTGGTGGGAAGGTGAGCCCAGCTTAAAAGAGAAAAATAATAATAATAATAATAATAATAATTTAAAAAGTCAGGCAGTCAATGGGGGACGCTGAGCCAGAGACATCTGCCAGGACATGGATCTGGGAAGTCCTGTCAGTTCGCATACATGCATGCCTGTTCCATGGAAATCCCTCTGGCAAAGCCTAGGGAGGCTGAGGCGGAAGGATCACGAGGTCAAGAGGTGAAGACCATCGTGGTCGACATGGTGAAACCCCGCCTCTACTAAATATAGGAAAATTAGCCAGGCGTGGTGTCAGGCGCCTGTAGTCCCAGCTGCTGTGGAGGCTGAGGCAGGAGAATTGCTTGAACCCGAGAGGCGGGGTTTGCGCCTGGGCAACAAAGAGAGAGACTCCATCAAAAGGAAAAAAAAAACAGGTGCACATGGCCAACGCCAACACTTTCTACACTATGTAAAACCGTCAGAGATCAGGCACGCACCCTCAGTGGGGCTTGTGGCACTGGAAAGAAAAGGCAGGATTGTGAGATGTGTGTGAAAATTGTCTTTGTTTGCAATGCCCGTACTATCAACTATGCATCTGGACTGGAAACAAGGACTGGAAAGAAACACACAAGACAAATACAACCAGGTCTGTTAAGTGTTCACGCCTATCATCGCAGCAGTCTGAAAGGCTGACGTGGGAGGATGGCTAGAGCGCAAAAGTTTGAGATCGTTTTGAGCTGTCAGTCGACACCACCTCCACCTCCTGGGCTTACCAGAACCCTGTAATCTCAGCTACTTGGAGGCTGAGATCACCTGAGTCCAGGGAGGGGCGGTTGATGCTGCCATGAGCCGAGATCATGAGGTCAGGGCGGATCACGAGGTTGGGAGTTCGAGACCGGCCTCTCAGACCCGTGGGTGCAAACTGAAAGCAGGGCTGAAAAGCAACTAGGAGAAGAAGCTGGACGCGGGCAGTCCCAGCTATGCCCAAAGGAGGAGGTTGGCCAAGGGGAAAGAGGCGCTGCTGCGTCCAACCGCTCATCGCCACCCTAGTGGGACTGTCCCCGGCGGCCTGCTGGTTGACCTCAGATACAGCTGGCCAGAGGCTAAGTCCGGCGGCCACTGCCGACATCTTGTTGACCCCGGAGTCCAGTTTTTAAGTTTTAACAGATTATCTATCTATCTATCTATATATATATATATATTTTTTTTTTTTTTTGAGACAGAATCTTGCTCTGTTACCCAGACTAGAGTGCGGTGGCTCAATCTTAGCTCACTGCAACCTCTGCCTCCTGGGTTCAAGTGATTCTCCTGGGTCAGCTTCCTGAGTAGCTGGGAGTATAGGCATGCACTACCATGCCCAGCTAATTTTTTGTATTTTTAGTAGAGACGGGGTTTTGCCGTGTTGCCCAGGCTGGTCTCAAACTCCTGAGCTCAGGCAATCCACCTGCCTCCAACTCCCAAAGTGCTAGGATTATATGAAAGAGCCACTGTGCCCAGCCAAAGTTTTAACAGATGTATTTTAAATACAACATGTTTTATAGGAGTCTACAAGCTTTTCATCTCTAAAAAAATGACTAAATTTTTAGGGCTGAAAAATTCCATTCTTCAAAGGAAATGTCCAAGTGTTTTATAGCTTCAAACTTTCTGCACTTAACCACTTGACTGTTCCGTGCCACCCCAGACAAACATGACATGACTGAACTACTTCATGTATTACTGTCTTCCTCAAAATAAAGGGTAAAAAAGAGTTCTTCATAAATGCATAAATGCACGTCTCTAATGCAATATCTAACACAAAAGAAACTTTAAAAAGATAATTTCTTATTTGATTATCCAGGAGTTTATCTTAGTAAAAGCAAAAAAAGAAAATTTATGAAGCATAATACTAGGGTTCCTTTTATACTCAAGATTTTTTTTTTCTTTCTTTCTTTCTTTCTTTTTTTTTTTTTTTTTTTTTTTTTTTTTTTTTTTTTGGGGATTTCACCATGTTGGTCAGGCTGGTCTTGAACTCCTGACCTCAGGTGATCTACCCACCTCGGCCTCCCAAAGTGCTAGGATTACAAGCGTGAGCCACCGCGCCTGGCATGCTCAAGATTTTTAACTACTTAAAATGACAACAGTTAGATCTTTAGGAGTATAATGTAGATACTAAACAAACCAAAGATTTTTTTTTCTTCTTAAAGAGTAGGAAGAATCAGAAGCTTGGGGAAATCCAGAATTAAAAGAAAGAGAAAAAAGAAGATAAAGAGGAAAAAGTGTCCTTCATTGTAACCATTTCATTATCAATAGCATCTTGGGCTATAGGAATGAGATCTTGATTGTGATCTATGTCTACTATAATAAGGAGAAGGTGATCATCTTCTGTACTGGTAATCATAGTCTTCATATCTGTCATATCCATGATCATACCTTCCATCATAGGAAGAATCTCGACATCTGCCACCACCTCCACTGTTGCCTTTACCACCACCTCTACCACCACCACTATGAGTTGTTCTGCCCATGTAGATGCCTGGTATAGGTGTGTGTGTTCTCTTGGTAATAGAATCATCCACCTGAATTCTTCTACTATCCAGCTCCGTTCCATTTGCCCTTGCCATAGCCTTCTTTGAGTCATCTATTGTCTCAAAATACACAAAAGTGAATCCTCGAGACTCATTGGCACCATTCAACAGTCCATATTGAGAACATACTTCACGAAGATTTATCTCTGTTGTGTACAGACTGAGGCCAAATACTCCAAAGCAAGTATTGGGCTCTGGATTTGCCCTTCTGCTAGTATGTCTTCTCTGGTTAGACATTGGAGAATAACTTCAGCTACTTTGCTGCCAGTATTCTGGTATATGTGATCTACTTTGAGATCGTCTCCTGAAAGAGAGAGCGGGATCTGGATCGAGTGTGTTAACGTCGATGAGAATGCCTCCTTGACCTCAACCTTGATTTTGATCGAGAATGGGACTCAGAGTGTTTGGAAACCCTTGCAGGACTACAAGATTCTGACTTTCTCTCCTTTTTTACACGAGCAGGAATTCCTATTGGAGATTTTGAGTGAGAGTGCGACTCATTTATGTAACCTAGGATCCATTCATTCTTCCAGATTCTTTTTTTTTTTTTTTTTTGAGGCAGAGTTTCGCTCTTGTTACCCAGGCTGGAGTGCAATGGCGCGATCTCTGCTCACCGCAACCTCTGCCTCCTGGGTTCAGGCAATTCTCCTGCCTCAGCCTCCTGAATCGCTGGGATTACAGGCACACGCCACCATGCCCAGCTAATTTTTTTTTGTATTTTTAGTAGAGACGGGGTTTCACCATGTTGACCAGGATGGTCTCGATCTCTTGACCTCGTGATCCACCCGCCTCGGCCGCCCAAAGTGCTGGGATTACAGGCGTGAGCCACCGCGCCC